GCCTGGCTTACATATCAATATCCAGGATAGCCAGGACTGCATGGAGAAACTTGCTGAAGAAAACAGAAGAAGAAGGACGAGGAACAGGAGGAAGAGCAAGAAGGAAGAGGTAGATGACACAGCAAATGGATGAAATGGTTCTTTGTATCTATTTCAATTCTATGGCACTGGCTCGCTCTCACCACCTGTAACCTTAAATGGATCACTGAGAGCCCTGTCTTTAAGGAACAGCAAGATAATGGTGACAGTCATGATTGACCTTCCGGTCAGCACCCTTTGTTAACCCTGATGTGATGGTAAGTTTATATATGTCAACTTGACTGGGTGCCTGGGTACCCAGACATTTAGACAAACAGTTTTGTCAGCATTTCCATGGAGGTTTTGATTAAGATTAACATTCAGACCAGCAGCAAATTGCCATCCACTGTGTGCTGGCCTCATCAAATAGCTTAATGTCTGTCTCTTCCTGTGCACGTGCACGCACACACCTGCCTTTTCGCCTCTGTATCTGTCACCTTTACCACGGGATACCCAGATCCTAGCAAAGTATACATCACCAACCAGGAACTCAAATTCTTGTAGATCAGAGATCTGACCACATACACTAATGATTAGTTTTAATAAGCATCCAATAGATGCTCTGCTAATGGTAAACAGGACATTTCATTCATTTGGAAGGTCCCCAAGCTCACTAAAGTCAGCTGTTATAAACACGGATTGCTTAATTGTAGCACTGTTGGCTAAAAGCAAGCAGACCATAAGCCTTTATCATTCAACACTTGTGCAATTAAAGGCAATATTTATCCAGTATCTCTTCCAAGAAAACAGTGGTCTAAGACTGTGCAGGATTCCAAAGAAAGTGAGGCAACCCTCCATCCCAAACAAAGAAGAAAAAAACTTTACAATCGAGGCTAGTAACTATTTTTAGGTTATTAAAGATTACTTTTATAATGTGCTCATCCTGCAAAGTTTCAAAAGGTAGTGAAGAGTAAGCAGGCGGGAGTCACCAGTCAGCTTTTGTGTAGCCTTACACATTCTGAGCATTTTACAGTGCTCATCCTAAGTCTTATTCCAGCCCTGCTTCCTATAATAGCAGATCCTTGAAAAAGGAAAATAAATAAACAAACACATTCTCTTGGTCCTCTCCTATTTACTACTCCCCTCCCATTGTCCCCACTCAGCACCAGACCAAGGTCAGAATGCAAAAATCAGCTTTCTGGTGGAATACTCTCCTAGTATAGGCAAAATCTGGGTTTCCTTCCCCAGCTCTTCATAACTAGGGCATAGTAGTAGATGCTTCTCATCCCAGCACTCGGGAGATGGAGGCAGGAAGTCCATGAGCTATGGGTCACACCTATTAGGTGTGAGGTCAACCTGAGATACTTAAGACCCTGACTCAAAAATGAGAGGAAAGTAAAAGTGGGGGAGAAAAGTTGACTTCAGAATAAAATCCAAATTCAACCACCTCTAAGGACTCTCAATTGGAAATGAGAAAGAAGCGGGGTAGAAAGGTACAGGGTTTGGAATGAGGAGACATTTGGCTATGTCCATGTGCAAGGCTGGTCCCCTCCATACCAACATCTCTACCCTGTTGTGATTTATCATAATCAAGATGTCCTGAGGACTGCAATGAGACAAGCCTGTGGAAAGATCCTTTGAACACTAAGTTAGGGAATGTCGCTGTCACCATGACTCTAACCAGGTATTATTATGCAGTTAGCATCCTGAGCCATGCGCATATTTACCTTGAGTCTTCAAATCCACAAAGATCACATCTCGGAAGCCACCTGCCCTCCTTGCCTGAGGCTCTGAATTTAATGAATTTGATTCAGAGATAAAGTAGTCTATGGTTTTTTCCTAGGTTTCTCATGTATTATCTGGAAACAATGGTAATGTTTGCCTAGCTGGTGATTTTTAGGTCCTGTTTACCTTCCATTCAAATTGGTCAGTCAGTAGTTGAGAAGCGACTCGGAAAGACAAGAGCTTTTAAATTCCAATCAGCATGGTTCCTCTTAAGGTTAAGACACAGAACGGGAAGTCACTTGATAACCACAGACCTCCTCTGCCAGTCAGCCCACCAGACTCAGTGTGAGATCCCACTGAGGGAAGCCTCGGGACTGGACACACAGCACAGAGCCTCCCCGTGGCTCTCCAGGAAGACTGCTGCGGACAGACTTCCAGCTTTACATTTCCCTAGCTGGGTGGCTTTGTCTCTCATTCTCCTCAAGTAAAACAGAGCAATGATAGAAGCAGACCTCCTGTGGCTATCCTTGGGAATGAAAGGGGTTAATACGTGTAAAAAGCCTTGGTAACAATATTAGCAATCTAAATCTTCGGAGCTAACCGGAAAGGACAAGTGACCTCCGTCAAGGAGCCACAAAGAAGCCTTCACCAGGGTTGGTCGTCCATTCTCTCTGACTCCTTATACATATTTCACACAAGAGGGCTCGGGACTTAGCCCAGTTGTTAGAGTGCTTGTCCAGCGCCATATAAACCAGGCATGGTAGCAAGCATCTGAAATTCCAGTATTCACAGGCCAATCATAAGTTCAAGGTCATCTTTGACTATATAATGAGTTTGAGACTAACCTGGACTACAGGAGACCCTGCCTCAAACTTTTAAAAGGGATATGTCTCACTAGAGACACGTTAAGGCTCCACCATCCCAGTGCCTGAGAAGCAGGAATAATAAATAACACGACCCATCTTCCTCTCTGCCTGAACCTATCCCAGACAACTAGTGATAGGTTCCCTCCTAGTGAAACCTCAGGCCACCATCTGGCTGGCCTCTATCAGACTCCGAAAACACCTAGAGGACCACCATGCACTGCAAGCTCCCACATCAAGACTGCAGAAAAACAAAGCACACAAGCCCTCCATCTTCACATGAGACAATCCCCAGCAAAGCACATAGCAGAGTATCAGGCAGCCAATAAATGTTATCTATTTCAAATGTTACCTATTTTAAAAGGAAGAGGAGGAAAGCCCTGGGTTACCTGCTCTCCCCCAAGCTAACACACATCCCAATACCACATGCCACACACCCCAGAGCAGACTGGAGTCTGTAGAAGAGAGAGAAGCCATGCTTTTTCTGTAGAGGGTTACTTCCTCTACAAGGAAGACTTCCTCAGACAGAAGACCAGGAATCTCCTTATCTCCCCTTCCCAAGAAGAAAAGGGGAGGACAGAGAAAACCCTTAGTTGGGGCTTTGCTGGCAAACCCAGATGTGAGAGTTACTTTTAACTGTCAATTTGTCACAGTCTAGAATGACCTGAAAGAAGGACCTCTGAGAAAGACTGTCTCAGTTAGAGTCATGGATGTGGGATGACCTGTCCACTGTGGGCAGCATCATTCCCTGGCTTGGGGTCCTGCACTGAATGAGAAACCAAAAAGCTAGCGGAGCCCGAGTAGATATGTCCCTCTTTGTGCTTGACTGTAAATATAAGGAGACAAGTTCTCTCAGTCGCAGACTGCTGTGACTTCTCTGCCACAACGGGCTAGAGCTATAAGCCATATACACTATCAAGCTGAGTCACATATCAGAGTATCAGAAAAGCCCAGAATTTAAACAGTGCTGAACAAATTCAAGACAGCTTCGGACTTTCCAACTTATTCTCCTAGGTAAACCGCACAGCTAGGCTGCCTTCACTGGTGGCTGTGTTTAGGCAGTGTCGGCTCCCACACAAAATCCCGTTAATTTCCTTAGCATGTTCACACAACAGGCTTTAGATGCAGAGATCTTAATCGCTTCAGTACAACCTTGTCTCCATCCCAACCCTGACAACTTCCGGTCCTGAAAGGACAAACAGTGTAAGAGGAGAAGCAAGGAAGGCAACTGTGAGGCCGGACTAACTGGGGCGTCCTTCACTGAGGCTGGCCGCGTACACTCTGAATGAATCGGCCTCCTGAAAGAGCTCGGGACCCAGGGACATAGTTCAAGTCCAGAATCGGCAGATATTCTTGCAAACCAGTATCTTTGGCGGGAGGCAAAGAGGAGGGGGCAAATGCTTGCTTCCTGCTTACCTGGGCAGGTATTTGCAAGAAGTCTAGAGGAGTAACCCACAGTCCTAACCCGACGGTTAATCAAATAGTCTAAGCAAATAAATGCAAAGAGTGGGAAGGTTCTCTCCAGATTCCCTCCTCACCTGTCTCGCTGCCTTCAGTAGACAAAGCGAAAGAGAAAACTCAACAGCTTGGAAGAACCACAAACCCACTCTCCCAGTAGGACCAGAAGGAACACCTCCGTCTTTCTCCTTAAACAACAGGGCCTCTCAAGTCACTCTTACGGGTGGAGGGAGTTCTTGGCCGAATTCCGTCTTTGCCAAAGGCCGCTCAAATTAAGCTATCGCCTTGGATGAGACAGGTGTGTACGGAAGGGGAAACCAAGGACGCAAAGGGTGCTCCTATCCCAAATCAGACAAGAAGGGATGGGGTGGGGAATAGAGGGGCACAAGGGGACATAAACTCTGCAATGCGAAAGGCGTCCCAGCCAGGCTCGCCGCGGCCCCTGCCGGCAGGTCTGACTAGTTCCAGGCACCTCTTGAGGTCTGATAGGAGCCACCAGCAAAGATGAAAAAAATTAGAGTTCCTGACCCTGAGGGCCCACCTCGCGCCACAACTGCGGATTCAATTGCGGGAACTGTGGAGATCATTCCATATGGGCCCAGTGACCCCCCAAGCCGCCCAACCTAGAGCGCACTGACTGTTACCGGGCACAGCGCTGCACCAGGGCAAGAGCCCTGGGTACGCTCTCGCCGGCAACTGTCGTGGGGCGCCTTGTAACACTGCAGGGCAGAGGGGAGGGGGAGAAATGGCAGAGAAGGCGGAGCAGGAGGCCCGGGAAACACTAACATTTGCCAGGAAAGCGCCTCCTCCCGAGAAAGGAAAGGAAGGGCTTCCCGGCTTAGGAAACGCCCCGGGGATGCCCCCCACGCGAGGTGCCGCCGTTCCTTGGCTCACACATCCTCTACCCTCCAGTCGGTCCTGCACTTCACCTCCTACCCCAAAAGCCGATCCTAGCGCCCTTTCACAGGCGTCCGAAGAGACCCACACTCGGTTTGGGCAATCTGCAGCTTGCGCAACAGGCAGAGTCAGGTTCCAGCGACGGCAGACTCCCGGCTCCCGGACTGGAGGATGGGGAGGAAGACGCAAGCCAGACGCCCAGCAGGATGCAAAGTCCGTAGTCAACAATGACCTGTGAGGTCGTGCACCCGCCACCTGAGTCACCAGGGACTGGAGCAGCAAAAGATAGGGAAAGGTACAATAAAGTTGAGGGGTCGCGTGGAGAAGTGACACGGACGCACGGGGAGGTGGGAACCCGAGCAGGTACCTGCAGGAGTCTGGAGTCCTGGCGCGTCTGGCTGGCTGGGCTCTGCGACGCCGCCTGCCCGCGCTGCAGGGATCCGGCCTCTCCGCGCGGCCCCGCGCCCGCCGCCGCGGCGGCAGGAGAGCGGGTTAGCCCGCGCGGGTCGCTGAGTCCACGGATCCCGCCCGGCGGGAGCTGGGTGCCTAGAGAGGCGGGCGGGACCGGGCGGGACCAGGCGGGGCCAGCATCTCAGTCAACGCCCCGCTGCTCTGTGCTCCTCCCGCCGCCTGGCGTCCAGCTCTCAGCCAGGGTTCCCCCGGCCCGAGGCGCGGTGCGGCGCTCGCGCACACGGACAAATTGGATTGAGGGGGTCCCACTACGAGCCCCATTCACCGATGGTTGGACCCAGACACAGCAGTGAGAGACTAGCATCGCGATTCAGCCCCAAATGCAGAGTCACCCCGGGAGTGTCCCGCCCTGCCCCAGAGGGAGGTCAAGGTCACGTCCCACGCCACTCACCTAGCGCACACCTGGGAGAGAACCGCAGTCCAGCTGAAGAATAATAACCTCTCCCATGGCAGGAGCAAAATGCCTCTCGAAATTCGTAGCCAAAGCAACACTTTGCAAAATTGCCAAGGTTTTCTTGAGCTGTTACGAGGTCCCAACTTGTTTTACAACAAAGTGTGAAAGAAGAAACGACCCCGTTTCTGCCACTATTTCCACCACCCGCTCCCTGAAGATTCATACACAGTATGGAATGAGATGATGTGTTTTTTTCCTCGACTTACCAAGTCAGAAGAAATGGCTGGACACATGCACCAAGCGTATAAGCAACATAGGGAGAAAGGAAAGGAACTGAGTGGAAAGGGGAGGAATGGGAAAGGGAGTTAATGGGAGATGGCTCCGGCCAGGGTTGAAATAACAACCAAGGACCTCTGCAAGGGCAGCGTGTGGTCCAGAAGACACGCCTGGCCGCTCTGCACTGGCACTGAGCGAAAACACAACCAACAGCCCGGAAGAGAAATGGGATGCGTGGGGACCCACCCCCGCGCTCCCCCTCCCACCCCCAAACTGCAGATTTTTTAAGTTGTGCAGACATGCAACCGTTCGTCAAAGCCAGCTGCTTGGAGTTGTAGGCGCCCAGTGTTCTCAGGGTTCCCACCAGACATCACAAGCTCTGCTGGAGCCCAGCGCCCCGAACCCGGTCTTGATGACAATCACCTCAGACAGGAACCTAGCCAAACCTGGCATCTTTACAGGGGAGACAAGAGGGATCCACACAAAAGAAGAAAGATGCTTTTCTGACCTCGTAGAAGCACCCTGTGGTGTCTGTGGGCTTTCTGTTAGTTCCTTCTCTATCAAAACCCACATTGAAAGTCAGAGGGAAAAGAGCTTCAAACAGGAGAAGCCTACATCTTATTTTTTATTACATTGTATTTATCTGTATGTGTATGTGTGAATGCATTCACACCTTAGCATGTGGAAAGGAAACGCGGAAGACAACTTTCAGCTTCCTGCGGATGGAACTCAAGTGGTCAGGCTTGGGGGCAAGTGTATCCTAACTTAGAGGAGAGGGTCCCAAGCAGCTGGCAGAAGACACTGAAAACCCTGGAGACCCTGGCTCAGAGAAGGCAAAATGAGGATGCAGGCCACAATAGAGCCTATTTGGACTTCTGTCCCTAATATCTTCGTTATTTAATCCCGCTCAAGCCTCTTCCTCTGGAGTCACAGGAAACCCAAGGCATTCGTCTGCTCTGCTCTTGCACGTGTCTGTCAAAGGTAATTTTCATAAACAATTCACCATCTTTAATCTAAGATCTAAATTATTCTAAATGTTTGCATTATATCAGCATCATGGAATCAGTGCTCCCTGATCTCCCCCAGCACTTAGCTACCCGAGCTTTTGAAAGTACAGTGTTTAGCCCCCCCCCCCCTCAGCCTTGATTGCCTCAGAAAGACAAGGACAAAGCATCAGTCCGCAGCCTGTGGAAGGCATCTGTAGTGCAGAGTGGGCAGTGGGTCCTTCTCCTGAAATCTGGGTGGCATCAGTGAAGAGAAGAGATTGCACAATCAGACATGGTCAGGAAAGGTCCCTTCAGGAGCCAGGTACAGAAAGGGCGAGCATGCTAGAGCAGGGTGTGCAGGAGGCCACCGGTTTGAGTTGGTAGGTCTGCCACTCTCCCTCTCCTCTTCCTGGGTCCCGTGTGAAGAAGCCACACAGTCCTTCAGTTCTGGTTTGTCACCTGTAAGGGAAATTCCTTCTCACCTGGTGCCCAAGTAAAGTACATGAAGCAAGAAACAGGAAAGTGCATTTGCTCCAGAAAGTTCATGCAGACAGATAAATTCTCTCTCTCTCTCTCTCTCTCTCTCTCTCTCTCTCTCTCTCTCTCTCTCTCTCTCTCTCTCTCTCTCTCTCTCTCTCACCCCATACATGAACTTGTACACTCACATCTGTCCTCCACCCACACAAACCTGTCCTTGATTTTTTTCTCTCTCAAAGTCCAAATGGCAGAAAACAAACCCGACATCAGCCCTGAAGGTCAGACGGTACCAGTGATGTAGGGACAGGTCTACAGGTAGAAATGAAGATGTTCTCATTTCAGGCAACAGGCTAGGGAGTGAGTGTACACACTGGTAACAATGTTCAGCGTGTTGGTGCCTCTTACTTATCCCCTCCACTCTGTACTTTGCTGCATGAATGTCACTGTACCCAACGGGGATGCATAAAAAGCCTCTCTCAAACCACCTGACTACTGGGGTCTGCCTGCATCAGTGATACCCTATTCCCAATTGCCTAGCCCTTCCCTGCACAGATGGCTGCTTGGACCCCACTAACAATTAAGATCCTCTAGGATGTTCCTTCTCCCTCGTGGGCTATGAATCCCCTCTCCACCAGACCTCAGCACCCTGGGCTTCCCCGCTACACAGCCCCTAACAGGCTGACTTTTAACTGTCTATCTTCCGCTGGTTAAGGAGCTCCTTGGTAACCACATTTCAGGGACCTTCTGGAGGATCTTCATGTTCGTGCAGTGAATGACTGAAGGCTCTGTCGCGGGGCCCACAAGTTCCATCTGCTCCTCGTGGGTACTTCGGTCTTTTGTTTCTATGCTGCCTTTTGCCAGGTAGAAAGAAAGCATGAGCCTTCACAACTCTCATTCTGCTTGGTTGCTGGGAAGCTCGGAACTAAATTTATATAAATTAAATTTAGCTCTTAATTAGCTGAAGTGTTCTTGCTACAGATTATTTCAATGATAAGCACGCCTCCTTTACGGAACAATGGTACACTTACCTATTGCCTTTTGATGTAGTATTTTGTTGTTGTTGTTGTTGTTGTTGTTTTAACAGACTTTAAAGTTTCATGTTCTTAAAGGTCCAAGGACTTGAATTCTAATTCCCCTTTGCCTCTGACAAGCTCGGCAGCATTTCTTCCCTGGCTAGCTCTTTGGATTTGGACCATATGATATTCATGGTCTTTGCCAGCTCTAAAAGCTTTATACTTCTATAGATAAAAGGAGAGAGAGTTTATAAATTCTTAATGAAAGAACCCCAGGACAGAATATGGCTCAAGTCTCTAGGCACAAAGGAATATACCCCTCAAGTACCTGGAGACGCCCTTCAAGAACCCCAGAGAACCAGTCAAGGTGAGTTGTACAGAGCATAGTGCCCTGGCAGAAGGCCTTGGTTAATACACACTGCACTCCCTGGGGAGGGGGATATCCTTTGCTCACTGGGCCAGACAACGACTTTGACAGTCAGGCTATGAAATGCCCTAAGGTAGTAACCCTTCAGGTGGCTGCACTTGACTTATAGCCACCTCTCGGGCTTTTCACATCTTTCTGTCTGCGTTGCTCAGCCCCTCATCGACCTTCCTGTGTCAGCCATCCTGACCTCTGAGCCTTGGCCTTGCCTCTGCCTTGCTCTTTAATGTTTCCCTTCTGCACTTAAAAAGAAATCATACTTCATGCGCAAAGTAAAACCCAGTGTCACTCATCCAAAATGGCTTTCTCTCACTCGTTCTTATGGTGTAGATGGGAACTCTTCCCCAAAACTTTTTTATGTTGAATGTTGTAGCTCAAGACCCTGCTGAGAGTTAAAGAACCTTACAGGATGGGTTCTACATTTTGGGATAGGAAGGAGCCCCCATCCCTGTCTCTCTTTCTCCCTGTTTCCTGCTTCCATGTACGTTCCCACCACCATGTTGTTCCACCTTGCCACAGGCCCAGAAACAATGTGGCTCAGAACACTGAAATGTGAGCTAAACTCATCAGTCCCCTTTAACTCACTTATGCCAAGGGTCCCCCCCCCCCACGGAAATTACAAAAGTAACTACTACTGCAAAAGTAGTTCCAGAAGCAAGGTCAGGGCTGTGAATAAGCCTGGCCATGTGGTTCTTAGGACTTCATAAATGGTTTGAGGAGGGGATAATCTGTTAGAACTTGGAGATAGAGCCTTAGAAATATTCAAGACTGTTGTAAATGTAGCTTGAATGTGACCTTTTGTGGAGGTTTGAGAGTTTCAGAACTCTGATAAAAGGTGGGTGGAAGGACTGGGCTCATGTGGGGCTGCTTTTGTAAACACACGCAATGCCAGTCACCAGGTCATAGAAGTTTCCACACAGATTTCAAGGATCAGTTAGGGACCAAACAATATATGACAGCATCAGAGTCCCCAGAGAGAAGACAATGTATAACCTGCAATAGAGATGCCAGGATATTGGAGATGCCAAGTACATGCAACAACCACCTAGCCAAGTCATAGGCAAGAAGTGGAGTCAGCTTAGAAAAACAACATGTGGACTATAGCCACCAAGGCCATAGAGGGGGCTTTTTAAAACAATACTCAGGAGCTCCCGTCATGACTCCTTGTACCCTGGATGCTAGACATGGAGCTGCAGGATTTAGTGTTTGCCATATTGGCTTTTGTTCTTACTTGGGTCTCACCCTTTGGTATTCTCTTATTCCTCCATTTTGAAATGAGCATCTCTACTCTGTGCTTGTGTCTTGGAATAAAACCTTTCTCCTTCACTTTACATGGAATCACAGCTAAAGAGGTTCCTTGGATATCCACAAACACTTTGGACTTGGCCTTTTGAGTAATGCTGGAACTTTTAAGACTCCGGGGACTCTAGAAAGTGGACTAAATACATCTTGCATGATGAAAAGCAACCATTCTTTGGGGG